TATATTTAGGTTTGGATCCTAACCATTATGAGGGTTCTTTTACCTGACAGCATTTGAGTTATGTTTTCTGAGTTAGGAATTTACATCTCTAAACTGCTATAAAAGTCAATATAAGCTACCAGTGCCTCTTAGAGAGAGTAATCAAACTGCTTTCTTAAAGATATTTAACATTTAGATTCCTGAAGTCAGACCACCTTCATCACAGTCTACAGAAGAAAGTCCCAAGTGCTATTGCTGTTATTAGTGAAATGCTGTCTTCCCACTGAATAATGAGTTCTGGTTACTTTGACCCCTAATTGAAGCTCGATGTTTTAGCCTAATGCTTTTAAACTAATCAAAATCACCTTCCCTCTCCATGCTGGTGGGCTTTATTCATGCAGGATTGCAATAACAATGTGAATGATTTTACAGATTTTATTCCACTTCAGTGATTTATTACAAGTCCAGGGAGCTCTGGAGCTGGCAGTTCATGGGTCAGAGCGTGGGAGAGCCCCAAAGCTGGGCACCAAAATGGCAAGTTTGCCTGTGATTTTGTTAAATAAATAAAGTTGTTGCTCATATGCAGCTGATAAATATAGAAACTTTGGAAAATGGGTTTGAAATACCAGGCTGCAGCTATGAGATTCCTTTAGTTGTCTTAAAAATTAGTCTTCATGTTAATGCATATTGCATAAAGTTGTTGTATGGGTAAAATAAAAACACTTTAACTTCTAGGCAGTGGGTTAACTGGTGTGTTCCACAGGTCTAAACATACAAACCATTGCCAAAATTTGGTGGTGTTTCACTCCTTGGAAGGCTTAATCTCCCACTGGTTTTTAAAGATGCTGAATTCAGCTGCATGTGGAGACCCTGCAGAGCTGCAGCCCTCACCTTTAGCTCAGTGTAGAGGACACTTCTGCTCCAATGCCAATATATATTTCTGCTTTTCAGACTGATTTTTTTTTTCTCCATCTGCTTTCTACATCTGAGAGCTAGTGGCAGTGCAGGTCGCTGCTGCTAGATTTCAAATTGGAATTACCAATGAAAAACACTTTGTCCAGTGTCTCCTTTTATGTAAAGTTTTCATTTATTTGTGGGAAATCTGAAATCATCCAGATTTTCATAAAAAACTTAGTGAAGGGTTGTCTTCCCCAGAGCTGAGGATGTGTGATATTTTTAGCCAGGGAGTGAAGAGCATTAAACAAGAATAGGAGTTGGGATCAGTCCTTCTCCATTTAGCATGTAGCTCCTAAGCATGGTTAATTGGGCAAACATGGCCCATTTCATGAAAAAAAAAAAAAAAAAAGGCATATTACCTTACATATCAAGTATTTTATGAGATCTTTGGAGAAAAGACATCTTTTTATGTAGTGCCACTCTATAATAGCACTTGTGCAGGTAGTGTGGGACATGGACATGTCAACAATCCATATTTTAAATGCTAGTGGATTTAAAATATATTGTAGACTTTTCCCCCACAGTTTGTGGACAGATCATTAATAAAATTAATATCAGGTTAATATAGATGAAAGGTGTTTTCAATTATTTTTCCCTATGACTTCGCATGGCAGGATTGAAGGCTCACATCCAGCGTGTCCCACGGATAATGTTTTTGTGTTGCAATATTGGCTCTATAAATAAATGTGAAACATTGCAGTAGCAAACATCACATTTATTTCTTTTTTTGAAGTGCCTACAGCGTGTCATTACAGATGGATTGATAGGCTTGATAACATTGAACTTTTGTCAGACCTAACGTGGCAGACTTGTTACATGTCAGAAATTTTCTGTCATTTTTCTCACTATTCAAAAGGCAAAATATATTTGCAACCTTGAGTGACATTGAATGTGGAAAGCAGACAGAAATTATTTATCATTTCACAGAATTGTTTTTGTTGGGTTCATTTTTTTATGTGTTTTTGGTTGTGGTTTGTGGGGTTTTTTTCCAGTGGCAAAGCCGTAATCGGATTTTAAAACCCTGACTACTCTGTTTTAGGAATATGGAACAGCTGACTGTGGCTTGTAAGAGGCGTATGAACCATCCTCTTACAAATGTAAAACACATTCTTTATTACTTCACATTCAGATCATTTATTTCTGTGCTTCTTGGACTGAGGCAACATCTGACCTTTTATTATGGAGCTGCAGAAAACAACTTGGCAGGGTGCAGGCAATGGAGAAGGTCTTGTACAAGAGACAGGACAGTGAAGGATGTGGATGCTTAGAGAGCAAATTTTCGTGGAATTTAACCATAAACTAGTGTAATTTATACCTATTGAGTGTATTCCTTCAAATGTAAATGCTCTGTAATAGGGATAAAGCTGCTTTATTTTGTGATGATTAGCTTTAAACAAGATATTTGTTTTAAAGAGATGTGAAAATTAAAAGTCAGGTTTTGTGTGTATAATAGAAAAAACAATGGGTTTCTGGTGTAAAAAAAAAAGCAGCAAAGAAATGGATAAAAACATTTCATCAGAGGATGAAAACAAGTATTAAGGCAGAGGCAAGGAAATCCTGGACAGAGCATTAGGAAGATAGAGTTGGAAGAAGTAGAAAATGAGTTCTCAGTCATACAGCACCAATACTTTCATAGCTGGACCATGGCATTTTATGCTGAACAAGAAAGGAGAAGATTTCTGATTGCTAATAGACCTACAATCAAAGGAGAAACATTCTATATATTAGTATGCAACAGCACTATACACTTCCAAATGGATTATAGCCTAGTGAAATCAAGAGGATAATGATTAGCTCCTCAGCTAGAAAGGTTTCCTTCCAATATTTTGGTTCAAAATATAGACACTGGTGTTAATAAATCGGACTGTATATTGCAGACAATCTCAGTCAATGTTTTATGCTGGGAGATCATGTAGGTTTGTGGGTGCTATACACGATGTGGAAGAATAAAGCAGCTCTTCCCTTTATTTTGTTTAAAGAAAATAAAAAGAGCAAGGGACTTTATTAGTTTTCAATACTGTGGGTATAAATAGAAAGTCGAAGCTGTGGAGCAGGGTTATTATGTGGCTCATTACTGTTTATTACCATGAGGCACATCAAGATGTCTGCGAGTAGAGGGTGTGTGTGGGGGGGTAAATCACTTGGAACACGCCTGTTTGTCGCTCTCCTGCGCGGTGCTGGGAGCGTCGTTCCTCCTTCCAGTGCTTTGAGGAATATGTCCAAAATCTGTCGCTTGTCATATGTTCTCTCCGTCTCTTGCCGAGGAGAAGCGAACAGACGCACGTCTTATTTTGGTACCATTTGGTTTTGCATTTTGGGGGGGGGGGGGGGGGGGGGGGGGGGGGGGGGGAAGTGTTTTTCCTCGGAAAAGTTTCCGTCTGAATTGCGTCCCCATGAAATTGGGAAGAGCCTTGTTGACTTCAGGCGAGTTAGTGCTCTGTTTGTTGTCTAGCTTTGAGATAAGTGAATTATAAGTGAGTTTTCCTTTATTTTTTTATGTAGCCTGTCACTGTTTTTTAGTATCACTGAGAACAAAGAAGTTTTTGTTGTGTCGGTCATTGCACCGAGTCTGGAGTTGTAGAGAAAAGAGGTGGTTCTAGTGAGTTCGTACCTCTTCAGCTGCACTTTAGCAAACATTTGTGTTTCATGACACACTTTTCTTTTAGCTTTTTAATAGTCTGAAACCTCCTCAAAAATTTCTTTTAGCCTGTGGCTTTTAGCCAGGATCAGAAATGAGCCAGTAAAGTGAAGCTCAAGCTCATCAAAGAGCTAACAAACCTTGGTAAATCTTAGTCTTTAACATCGAAGATTTGCAGTTGAAAGGCTTTCACCTCTCTTGCATGAATGTGAAATTCTTTTTTTTGATTTGTCTTCGCAAACTAATTAAATGGGGTTTTTTTAAGCCTCATTTCCCCATTGGGAACGTGGAGTGCTGCTAATATGAAGTAACTGCCTGTGGTTTTTACAGTCATACTGATGCTTATCTTCTGTTGCTTAATCTTCCTCCTCCTGATTTTCATTCTCTCTAGCCTGAATGCAATGTCTGATCCCAACCAGTGCCAAAGGCCTTGTGGATGAGAGATCTGGCACCTGCAACCTCATCCTGGGCCTGATGATTTCTTTGGAATTCCATATATAGGGTACATAAATACAGGGTTAAAAAGCATATGTCTTTGCTATTGATTTTTCTCTGCCACAGGCTGCCTATTTACTTATTTCTTTTTTCCATACTGTTCTTTAATGTTCTTCATTTATAATGGGTAAGGTTCTATTTTGCATGCAGGCAAACAGTAACTTATCAGTTAAATAAGGTGTATAGATACCAGTGGCTGACAGAAAGCAGGACCTTAATTGATTTAAAATACTACCCTCTTTCAGAGGTTTCTCATCTCTGCTACGACTGCTGGAAGCAACATAATACACAAGTGAGGCTGCTGGAAGTGTCTGTATAAAGGTTGTTCCTGATGTTGCTGCACAGAGGTGGAATTTGGTGAATTGGGTAGAACCTGCAGCGAGAGCCGGGTGGACTCTGCACTCAGCCTGTGCAGAAGAGGAGTAAAATCCCACCCTTGCAACTCTTAGCATCATAGAATTGTTTAGGTTAAAAAGACCATTAAGACCATCAAGTCCAGCCATTCCCCCAACACTGCCAAGCCCACCACTAAAGTGTGTCCCCAGGTGCCACATCTACTAATGGTTGGGGTCGATGATCTTAGAGGTGTTTTCCAACTGTAATGATTCTGTGATACTTGTGTCTTAAATCCCTTCAGGGATGGTGACTCCACCACTTTACTGGGCAGCCTGAGAGCTTGACAACCCTTTCCATGAAGAAATATTTCCTAATATCCAATCCAAACTTCCCCTGGCACAACTTGGTTGGTCTGGGGGCCCCAGCAACATATCTGGGAGTTGCTGCTCCTGGGGTTGCTTCGAGGTCCTTATCTGTACATCCCAGTAGCTGTCTCATTTTGTCACATTGGAATTGTACACAGCTGTCCTCAAATCCCCAGGAAAAATGGTCAATGCCCATTCCTTACTGACTTCTGTGTCCTTTCTTCTGACAGATGTCAACGAGTGCACCGCGGAGAATGGGGGCTGTCAGGACCAGTGCTGCAACACCGTCGGCAGCTACCACTGCAAGTGTCCAGCTGGCCAGAAACTGGAGGAAGATGGAAAATCATGTGGAGGTAATGTTTTGTGCTCTGTCTCACTGCTATTAAGGAATCAGAGGAGATGTTGGTAAGGAGAAGAGAATGCTGGGTTTTGTGTAGCGCCAGCTGAAGTGTGTGTGCTCGGAGTTGTCGAGAGTGCGGATCTTCTCATGCCTGGATTATGAAGATGTAACTGTAAGAACACTTCAAAGGGTTGTGGGTTTGTTTTAGTTTGTTGGAAAAACGTTATCACTTAACCTGGATTGGCTGTGCCATGTTCTGATTATGGGATTTCCATCATCAATTTGGAAACTTGAAGAAAGTGTATACATTTGATAATATTTCATCTGCCTCTAAAGCAAAATGGTCCTTATCAGAAAATACACATACATTTCACATTTCAATCACAATTCCACAGCTAGAGATTAACCGAATAAAAAAGGATTTAAAACCACATGCTATGTAAACCCATTTGTCTTTTTCCTAAGGGAAATATAAGTCTAGTTAGTGCATTATAGGGTAAGATTTTTTCTTATGCAAAAGCTTGACGTTGTGCAGAAGGAAAACATCACATAAGCTTGTGTTAGAACACATGATGAATGATGGTCAGTCTTCTGACTCGTAAACAGAGTGGGTGTAAACAAGCCCAGCTGATGTGTTGACCTACAGTCACTACATTTTGTGCAGCATCAGATGCTGCAAAAGGCAGAGGAGACCAGGAGGTGTAAGGTACCCAAAGTGTAATGGATTGCAGGCCAGATCAGTTCCTTCCTCCTGAGCTCTCCCCTGACACAGGTAATGGGTGTGTGCTGCCATATGATCTCAAGAGCTCTTCTGTGTGCCTGGATTCCACCCTCTGCTGCATTTCATTGCTGCCATAACTGCACCATTGATGGTTTTTTTATTATCTCAGGGTAGGTTTTCCTGAATTGCATTATCATCTTTTCACAAGAAACTGTCTTCTCTGGCTTTTCCTGTTGCACAGTGTCTGACAAATTCACTTCTTCCAGGATTTCCTCTTACCATTGTCCAACTCCCTTTTAAGATTAAATACAGATACAAAGCACTGTATTTCTTGCTTGTCATATGCTTTATCCTAACTTTATAATTGATTTGGCTGCACTCTTTTTTTCACTAAAAGACGATAGAATTATTTTCTACGGCAACCTATCACTTGAGATCCACCTTGAGAGTGTAAACAAGCTGTGGATGATTATTTTATTTTGATTGAAGCATTTTGTTATGATCCTCCATGCTTTCAGTTCGTCCTTTTGAAACCTCAGCCCAGGAGTACCATGCATGATTCACAGATTCCTGCTACTTCACCTCAGACTGCTCCTACCTCTTTCAGGGACTGAATGGTAATATGCCCATGAACCAGTGTACAGGTCTGTATTTTGATGACTTAATGATTTCAAATCTGCGTAATAGTTGTCCAAACACCAAGTTTTTGAAAGCAGGGGTCCTACTTGTTGTAATCCTAATTTTCTTGGCATGCAAGAGTCCTTTCTGACTTAAAGTAGTTAATTAAAATAATGTTCTTCTGCACAATTCATCTATTCTTTAAATATACTTTAAATTCTAGCATTTGGACATGCTTTAAAAACTCAAACAGAGCTTAAGGTATTTGATTCTTGTACTATATTTTATCTTACGAAGAATTGCAGGAGAAGATATTAGCTTTTTTGAAGCCACTTTTTAAAATCTTTAGACTACAATGGAAACAATGAACTGGAAAGGTTCAAGTCATAGAACAAAGTGAACATAGTGGTGACACTAAATACACCTGACCTTTTGCAGAGGTGATAATACAAGGAGCACATGGCTGTATTGACCTGCAGAAAGGCCAACTTTGGCCAACTTCTGGCCATCAGATGTTACAATATGAGTAACTTAGTGGTTGATTACTACATGAGGGAAAGTGAGCTTCCAAACAAAACTGCCTGTGCTGCTGGAAGGTCTTTTAGGACATGCCACTGAATTGGTGTTTTATTGATGCCTCTGCATTGCTCAAAGGAGTCATTTTGCTGATGGGAGTAAAACAGCTTCTCATTCAGGTTAACCAGAGTTTTTGGAGGAATAAGGCTTATTGTTACATTCTTTCTGCCTTTATAGCATCATTGTGCTTTGTGTTACCCCTCAGTCTAAACTCCAGCGTTAAATAGATGTTCACTATTGTTCTGCTCCCATTATTCGTCTCGTGGTTGGTTTTATTTCACTGGTGACTGAAATGATCGATTGGTGTACAGGGTTTTTTATAAACCAAGGTACAAATAAGGTCCATTGTTAGAAAAGCAGCATGGAAGTAGCACAGATTTTATTCAGCAAGTCATTATTAGTGGAAAGATTGATCGTGTTTTTCAGAAACAAAATAGAGCATCCTTCTGACAAAAGGGAAAGATGTTGTCAGAAAATAACTATGGGGTTTTTTACAATATTTTTTAGCCATTTGTAGCTGTTTAATGCTAAGGAAGGGAATCCAACAACATAAAGAAATATACTGCTGGTTTGATCAATCATCACTGGAAGGGTTGTGAGCAATTTTTTTTGGAGACCCTAAAGCCTAATTTCACAACTAGAATGAGATGAGGATGCTCAACATTCCCACCTTCCAGTGTGTCAAATGTGTATGCAAGACACGAGGCTCCATGAATATGCACAAGACAACAGAACATAATAGCTGAGGTAATCTTAAAATAATTATTGCTCTCAGCTTTGACTAAACCTTCCCTTCCTCAGGTGGTTCTGTGGCTGCTTGGAGCCATGTGAGGAAGGGGATTGAGCAACACATCCTGGGACACCCCACACTTTGGGGTCCATGCTGCTCCTGCTGAGGGATCTTTCCTAAATAACTGGGGACTCTTATGGCAGGATACATCATTCAGAGTTGTGTGGTGTGTAAAGTCTTACTTGCACCGAGAGGCGAGTTGTGGTGAGGTGAAGGCATGTGCATCTCTAGAGAAATGCCAGCCAGAGCTGTGACCTGATTAGCCTTTCAAAACTAATTATCTCCATGTTGTACTGCAGCTTTCACTCTCCAGCCTTCATGCTCAGAACTTCAGTTTGCTTCTCTGACAGAGAAATATTTTCTGGCAGTTACTGGCACAGGCATTACAGATTGTGACAGAAAGCTCCTGCTTCCCTCCCGCTCTTCATGTGTCTGATGGAAATGAGTGATGAGAAGGGATTTGGATTTAAATCACTGCACAAATAATATGACAAATTAGGATTTGACATTTACTAGCATATGACTGTTGGCCTGATGCAGTGCCCTGTGGATCTGTACTAGTGTGTGGTGTTTCAGGGACATTTCTCGTCAGGGTCTGTGAGTGGATTTGCTCAGAAAGCTGTAACGTGGTCTGAGGAAGGCAGTGGAAATGTGTATGTGTGCAATACCTCCTTGTTTGTTAAGCAGAGGCACCACTGACAACCCATGGCAGTGAGATATGCTGTGAAATGTATAGACATTTAATTTTTTATTCTAATGCAAAGCAGTTCTACTCTAGCATTGCAAAAGGCAGAACTGGTATTTTCTGAACATAAATACCATTTTAAATGGTAATTTTAAAGCTCAGTTGTTGGCACAAGTCCAGATCTGTAAGGGATGCTGAGGTTACAGCTACAAAAGCGTGTTTTCACACATGAATAAGCTGCAGAAGTCAACTAGAAAAAAGGTCATGACCTTATGTTAACCTTCTTTGGCAAATTGTCATTTCTTATTTATACTATTGCGCTCTCATCTGTCAAGGCAGCTGAAGGAACTTAGAGACAAGTGAAGTTCTGTGATTAACTGTTGATGAAAAGAAGCTTCTCTTTTACTGATTAGAGTGATATTGCAATCGCAGTAACCCCGTCCCTGGGGGTTTCGGTCAAACCTTGGAGCCCTGGCAGGTTTCCTGACCTTTGCCAGAGGGACTTTGGGAGCAGCTGCTTCCACAACCAGTGTGTGACTTTGCAGGGCCACTGCTGGTTACCCCAGTAATGGGAGAGTCACCAGTGTCACTGCTGGAACCTGATCCCAGGATGGATGGGAACTCTCCAAACACTGTTGCCTCAGAAGAGTTAATAGCCGGGCTAAAAGGAATACTGAGGGACTTGTCTGAGAGCAAGGAAGTGTTTATTAAAGTGACCCTGGCGTTATTAAGTCGGTAAGGTTTGAGATATAACTTATTCTTGTCAAATTCTGATTTTATCAAAGAACAAACGTTAATTCTACATTTGGACTGTTTTCCCTGCCCAACAAATCAATGTGCAGGCTTCTGCCATGTCCTGTGCTAAAACCTGAAGGACATAATACCATGCAGCTCTAGGGAATTGCCAAGGCATTTTTAATTCATTTATTTAATTTTTCTTAGAACAGGGGAGTTTAGTCCACTGGAGGGATTCAGGATGCTTTTGCATCATTTTATCTCTGAAAGTTGCATTTGACTCAACACATAGTATCAGCATGCTGTGACACAGAGGTAGTTATTTCCAGGATCACTTCAACAGAAGGAGAACCAGGAAAATACATTTTACCAAAAGAAAAAATATACCAGTTCTTATTACAGCTGCAACAAGTACCAAACTGCATGAACTCAGCTCTTAGGGCAGTCAAGTGAAGGTACTTCTACATTAGGTTTAGCCACCCCGACTTCTTTGTCTTTCATTATTTCAAGACCTTGTCTTGAGAAAAAGAAATAAATCCAGTTGCAGGAATTTAATCATAATTATCTAATTATTTGTAGCTGAATTACTCTGCCCCCACCCATGTTCACCTCAGAGGGCAACAGACAACTCCATGCCATGACCTTAACTGACCCCATGTGAACAATCTTGATAACTAAGGTGTTTCAGTGTATTGGAATTTTACAGCAATTCTAAAAGGAAAAGAAAAAGAATAGGCAAAAGAAAAAGACTTTAGAGAGGAAAGAAGGTAAAACCTGATTTCTCATTTTTCCACTGCTGTGGTTAGTTGCTCTCAGGTATCCTGGGACTCCAGCTTTCGGGGCTAAGTCAGAAAATTCCAAGTATTTATGTTTCAAAGTATAAAAACA